CATGATTCTGCCATATCTAGGTCAAATCTGCATGCGTGGCTCATTCTGTGATGGTTTTCGGCCGAAGCATGGCGGTGCTTGCTGGTTTCAGCGACCGAGTGCATGGTGGCTATGATGCTCTAGTGGCGGTGCGTGTGGAGGTGCGCAAACTTATGGTGATTACGCGTAGTGAGTTCTAAGAACCTAATTCGGGTATGTTGATCTTTTACATCAGAGATAATTTCACGAACGAGACTTAGACATAAATCAAGTACGTGCGTAAGCGCTTACAAATGTAATTTAATCTTTCTAAGATATTAAAACTATGACATTTAGTAATTGATAATTAGGCGCAGGATTCTAACGATATTTTACTATTGATTGTTCTGTTCTTATTTATATTTACTACTGAAATTGCTGATGAATTATTTTGCTATGTTTTGCTAACTGAATTCGTATATGTACTGTTTACTATGTAATTGAGAGTATATTAAGGATATATAGAAGAGTTGAGGGTGATGAATAGTTACAGTATGTATGCTATAGGTATAGAATATATTAAATAATAAAAATTAAGAAATTTATTAGTGAGTATTAATTAATAAGTAAATATTAAAAGACGTGTAAAACCTATTTAACTATTATCACCGAGGGGTGGGTGGGTGTGTAGCTTTACTATCATGAACCTTACTCGTGGATACGACTTTAGCCAAATGTGAGAAAACGACAAGTACTGTGAAACTGTGAACTGAACTGTATCATATTCACATAGTAGAGGGGATCCTTACTGGCCTCATTGATACCAGTAGAAATGGATCATGTGATGAAACTATTATTAATATGATATAAACTGATAAAAATGAATATAAAGTCATGTGTAACGTTTATGATACTAAAATACTGAATTAATATCTACTATTTTGCTTACTATCTAAATTGTGATACAGAATACTAAATTATACTATTTATTAAACTGTTTATACCTTAAGTTATGATACTGAAATAATGAATTCTGAATGTTTACTGAATAAACTGATTTATAAGGTTTAGTTAATGAATTAGGGTGTAGATACCACGTGTTTTTTGAATTAAAGAGAAAATTTTTTTAAACCATTTCTGTCGATAGTTTTATATTTTCTACCAACTTACACAGACTATTCTATTATTTGTTGATACTTACATGCTTATTGAGCATATTAAATTTACCTTATTTATTATTCATTTTTTCCATATTAAGATATTCAGAATCCCCCTCCTGGACAATGAAAAACCTGCTAAGAGGTCTTTTAATTTTTATTTTAATTTAAATTGTACTTAATGTTAATTATTTTATTTTTAGTGAGTATTTAGTTTAGAGTTTAGACATACCTCATGGATATTAAATATTTTGAGCTAAGTATGTAAGAGATGTATTTTTTATTATTTTAAAATTTGTTGCACGAAATATTCCTATAGATTATTTTGTCATGACATTGTGGACATTCGGTTACGACTATGGATGAGAGTTCGGGCCGTTACATAATCGCCCAATAAAAAAGGGAGTTTTCATTATTACGTTGTGTTATTTCTTATGACTTGAAGGCTGGTAGTTATAACTATTTTTTTTGTGTATAGTGTTATTGACATAGACAAGGCATGTATTTATATATAAATCAATGTTGTGAAGGGACCAAAATGGATTATGGTTTGGAAATAACTTGTTTGGATGACAACTCCACATCTAACAATTGCTCCAATTGTAGCTACTATAAACTTATTATAGAAAGTCATTCAATACCATTCCAAGTGTCTGTGAGGATTGTTTTATGGTGTAACCATATCAAGCTTATTCACATAACTATTTGGGTGGTCGATAACTTGCTTTATTTATGTTGTTATAATGGTGGCATGCTCACCCTGAACTCTATCAGCACGTGTTGTTCACGAATATGTTTGGAAGGCTTTATTGAAATTAATTAAATGTGCTTGAGTGCATACTAGTCTTTGGTTATACTATAAGAATAGGTGGATATATCTTAGTTGCAAAACTTTGGTCTTTTTTGTTAGTGCATACTAATGCATAATGCCCAACTGTTGGTGCTTGTTAAATGAGTCATCCAATATATTATATATGAGACATTCAATACTTTATATATGAGACAATGGCACATGAGAAAATGGTTTTTAGCTTGTTTTTGAGCACATTACTAAGCATACTTAGACCACAATGTTGTGAGAATTGTTCCCAGAATGTGGTTTGAGGGCCATATCCTACTACATTTAAATCCTATTAAGCGTTTAGGTTCCCATAACTGTTGTCTACTATGTTGCTGGTGTTTGTTTATTCAATTTTGCATTTTCTATTTGTTTTAGTTTCTTGTTTCTTATGATGGACCTTATGTGCATAATAACCTAATATTGTCAAACTAGTGTATATTCCCTTTAAATTTTCGAAATCCTTTTTTTTTAAAAAAAAAAATCATACTATTCTTGATAAATTGCTCTTAGTATTTTTTTTCTTTAAAAAAAAAAAGCCTTTGTCTTTTATTAAAAAAAAAAAAAAGGTTTTTTAGTTGATGTAGCAAATGAGTATTGGCTTATATATTATTTAACATAAACGGTAGAGATTTTCAAAGTGAAAGATATTGAGAAATTAATAAAAGATAAATATTTTATCAGTATACCATATTCAAGAATTGCATTCAGCAATATTTGATAATTGATTATAGAAAAATGTCAATTTTAATGGTCTATTTAAGATTTCTTGATTAATTAAACAATAAACATTATTAAAAAATACATCGAACAAGTTTTCCTACGTACAATTTCTTCCTAATAGTTCTAGTAGAATAATTACGAGGAGATCAATTCTTGATCTGTTGTTGAACTTGGAATAAAATGTGCTTAATTAATTTGCGTTGCGTACTATGAGTTTTAATTAATGAAGTCAAATTCCTAAGACAAGATAATTAAATTTGCGTTGCAGGTGTATAATAATGGAGTGTTGATGCGCATAGACAGATGCTAGCACATTATCTATATGTGTCTATGTATATAAAACAAGATTAATATAAAATTGAAAGAAGAAAACAAATGCTTCTTGTCCTTTTTGTTTGGATAAAAGAAAATAAATAGCATAATTTTGTTAATTACTGTGTATCAAAATATTATCTTTAATTTAAAACATTAAAATCATTCAGCAAAGTTGAAATTTCCTCCCTTGTCTTTGTAAGGGATATTCGCTATGCTACCTTAACTAGTCTCTACTCTAAGTTTGTAACAAATATTAGTGTAATTTGGGGTAAATAAGTTCTTTGTGGGTAATTTGTTATATATTTGAATGACTAGAAATAATAATTTACATTATTATTTTTGTAATTTATATTAATATTCACTACTTTTAATGTCGATACTTACAATTATAACAACAACAACAATAATAATAATATTCAATTTCAATAATGATACTGCACAAATAGAATTAACAGTAGTAATATTAAAAATATGTAGAATTAATTAATAGTGTAAGTATTATAAAATCTAATTTTTATTATTAAAAAAGATCAATAATAACGATAGTAGTAGTAATAAAAATAATTACGTTGGCTATACAGATGATAATAAGAGTGCTAATGGTGGCAATGACAGTAAAAATAATGTGGTAATGGTCGATGATGAAAATGGAAAAGTGGTGACAATAGCTGCAAAGTATGCAGCAATGACGAGAGTGGTTACAATGGTGTGATATTTTGATTTTAGTAGTCAACAGAATTGCCAATGGCAACAATAACAAGAGGTAATGTGTGACAAAATGACAATAATAGAAGTGATATTAATAATAGTTGTGATGGTAATAATAGTAATATAGTAAACGTGATAGTGACGATAAAAATCACTGTGATTGTGATAATAATGAGATGAATGTGACAATAATAGTAGTTGACGACTACAGTATTGACAAAAGAAAATATTATAATACAATATGAGTAACATAAGAAGTTGAAGATTATATAGAATTTCTGTCAAATGATATATATATATAAAATTTATAAACTTCATTTTTAATATTTTTTTAAAATAAAAATTTATATATTTTATTTTACTATCTTGAAAATTTTATTGACACTGAATTTATTTACCTCTCGTGTGATGAATAATATTATTGACTTTTGATGGGTAATATCTTACCTGACTTATAAAACAATTACTTGCAAACATTGAGTAGAGTAAGAGAGTTTACCCAATGTAACGTTTTGATGGGCATGTTCAATTATATTTTTTGTAAGTACAGCTTAAATTTGGGTGTACATAAAATTTAATTTTATTTATAATAATGTAACGTGGTACTTATTGTCATAATTAATGGAAATGAAAATTTAAGTAATTAGCAAAAATTGAAAAAATATTGTCATCAAGTATAGGCATTAATATACAAAATGTTTAATCCAAATTACTAGTAATATTTTTATGTGTATGTATGGATATGTAAGTGTGTGTATGTATATATATATATATATATATAAAGAAATTGACGGAAGCTAATAATAGGTGGGTGGGGGGGGGGAAGAAGAAGTGAATGGCGCAATATTTACTTGAAATGGGAGGTGAAAAAAAAGAATAAAAACAAAAAGAAAACCCCTCGTAAAAGAAATCATTACGGCATTCCTGAAAGTGACTAATCGTGCTTCCTTCACCTTTAAAAAGGCTGCTTCAAATACACTAATCTTGCTTAATTTACTTCACCATCATTATTCAGTAAAAAGACTGCAGTTACTTGCGTCAGTAATTAGTAATTATTATTATACCATAGTTAAATCTTTTACCCTTCTCTTTTTTTTTTTTTTAACTTTAATGAGAGAGAGAGAGGATGAGGTCACGTGAGGAGGAAGAGAGATCACGTGTAAGAGAGGCCCCGGCCTGCAATATTCATGCAAATTACTGTGTGATATGAATAATGAGTGTTTGTTTTCTTATGGAGAGGATGTTCTTTTGTTTCTGTCCAAATGCCTGTGCTTATTGTGTGTGTGTGGGCTCAGAGTTTCAAGCCATTGTGATTGGTTCATCTCTTTCTCTCTCTCTCTCTCTCAAATTTTTATACAGCCGAAGAGCTCTGTGTGTATAAACACTGTACAGAGAGCTTTATAAGCAAGACTTTGCCACAACCATACTTGCTCGAGGTGGGGGTCAATGAAACAACAAAGCCAAGAAAGCCTCCATGAGAGAAATTAAGAAAAAAGCTAAAAAGCTTAAAGCTTAAAGAAAGCTGATTGCAGAAAGCAATCTTAGCTTTTCTCTCTCTCTTTCTCTCTTTCTTTCTTTCTCTCTTTCTCTTTCTCCACCCATTTTCTTTCTCTTGCTAAAGCTGAAACACCCACTACTAGCAAAAACTTCTCATCATCACCTGTACACTCAACGATTGATTGATTTCTCTTCACCCCCAACATATAGTCCACCAGAAGCCACAGATTCCAGCACTAACCCATGTTAGACAAAACAACTTCCTCCTCTGCTGCTCCATCTTCTTCTTCTGATCCTTTTCCTTCCTCTGAAAATGGGGTCACCAACAAAAGGAAAAGAAGGCCTGCTGGTACACCAGGTAAAAAAGCCAAAACCCACTCACTATTGCCTTCCTCATCATCCTCATCCTTCTTTCTTCGATTCAATTGATGGCTTTTCTTTTTGCAGATCCGGATGCAGAGGTCGTTTCTCTATCGCCCAAGACCTTATTGGAATCAGATCGATACGTGTGTGAGATCTGCAATCAAGGGTTCCAGCGAGACCAGAACCTGCAAATGCACAGGAGGCGGCACAAGGTCCCTTGGAAGTTGCTCAAGAGAGAGACGCAGGAGGTGAAGAAGAAAGTGTTTGTGTGTCCAGAGCCAAGCTGCTTGCACCATGACCCGTGCCATGCTTTGGGAGATCTGGTTGGCATAAAGAAGCATTTCAGGAGGAAGCATAGCAATCACAAGCAGTGGGTGTGCGAGAAATGCTCCAAAGGATATGCTGTTCAGTCCGATTACAAGGCACATCTCAAGACTTGTGGTACCAGAGGCCATTCTTGTGACTGTGGCCGTGTGTTTTCCAGGTTTTAATTACTTTCTTATTTCTTTATATTCATATATACCAGAAAATCAATTAATACCCATAAATAATTATCACTCACATACTACTTTTTCTCCTCTTTCTGATTCTCTTTCTCTCTCTTTATAACTCCTTTTCTCTTGTTTTTTTGCTTTAAATCAAAAATTTTAAAGGAAATCCAAAAGGGTATTGTTTTTCTTAAATTGTACTGGTTTCCCCACCTCCACTGAAGGTCTGAAACCCTAAAATCCCCAAAAATAGAATTTTAACAAATCTAATTTTCAATTGTACAAGAATTGCAAGCTTTTCTGTCCGAGTCTTGCTCTTGCCTTTGTTGGGGTTTTTATCATGATCCTCAAGCAAGTATAAGCTTATTATTTTCTTTAAACAAACAAAACTTTTTTTGGTAGTCATCCCAAATCCAAGAATGATTTCATCTACAGTACAAACATGACCTCATGTTTCAAAGTTTTTATATCATGTATATTAGCCAATGGTGGTTCAAGGTGTTGTTGCCACTTACTGTTCCCAATAACAGTATTTGTTGGCTAAAATTATAAAACGCAAATATACCCATGATATAATATATATATATGTATATATCACTAGTCACTTAAGGATAGATAGACCCCATTTTGAGTTCTTTAGCTTATAATTTATTTATAAATTCATTTGGTAAACCTAGTCACGTAATCCACTGTTCAGATTCTTAAACCAATTTTATATTGCCCTTGCTTCTTGCTAACCCTGCATGAACTAGATTTTGTAAGCTGCTTGCTTATTATTCCTTGACCTACTACTCTGTGTGTGTGTGTGTGTACGTATATATGTTTTGTCATGAAACTTGACCATTGAGATATTCTCAAGTTCAAGAACAAGCGGCTTCTTTAACGTACGTTAGTAAACAAACATCAAGTAGAATCCTGCTGAAAACGTGGTCGTTTCAGGGTGGAGAGTTTCATTGAACACCAAGATTCGTGCACAGTCCGTCGAGTCCAACCCGAGTTACAGTCGCTGCAACAAGCCTGCTCGTCTCGAACAGCATCGAGCACCAGTCCGTCAAGTGACGCCAATTTTAGCAGAGCCCCACTGCCTGGACTGCCAGTACTGGCGCCAAAGCCAACTGAGCCTGTCTTCCTCTACTCGGATCGCAACAACAAGAACGTCCACCCAGCTGCCTCTGATCATCATCTCAAAAAACACAATCTTGAACTCCAGCTCCTCCCATCATCAAATTCAGATGAGAATTTCGAGACCCGTCTGAAGCTTTCAATTGGATCTTGTGATAACGGTGACCACAATCTTGAGTCTGGAAAAAAGCTGGAGAAGAGTGCAAGTGAGTCGGCGATGGAAGCCACCCGTTTAAAAGAGTTTGCTAACGAGCAGTTACAATTGGCGGTGGCCGAGAAGGCATATGCGGAGGAAGCTAGACAAGAAGCAAAGCGACAGATTGAGATGGCTGAGCTTGAGTTCGCGAATGCCAAGCGGATAAGGCAGCAAGCACAGGCTGAACTTGAAAAGGCTCAAGCTTTGAAAGAGCAAGCAACCAAGAAGATCGGTGCTACTATGATGCAAATCACTTGCCAAGCCTGCAAGCAACAATTCCAAGCGTCCACTGCCACGGTGGCCGCAGCAGCTGACGAGACCTCGCTTGCTATGAGTTATATGTCTTCGGCCACCACCGAAGGAGAAGGAGAGTGAAACAGCACTGGAATTCCTCATGCAACTATGTATGTTATAGTTTAAAGGAAAAAGATTAAAAAAACAATCTCTTCAGCTCAAGATGCATGCTTATATCGTTACAAGGCTCTTCAATCTTTTTTTCAAAATTTTTTTTGGGGTATTTGTATATTTGATTATGCCTACTGATTTTCTTTGGCTATGTCAAGTAGGTTTTATTTATCTCTGACCATTAATTGTTGCGGTGTTGATGATTAAATGGATACTGTAAGTTGTAACTGGTTCTTGAATGGCTTTAATATATCTTCATTTGTTTTAAAGGCCAAAGTATATGTATGCATTGTAACTAGCATTCAGTCAATATTAATGTTGGGAGCAGTATCATATACAATTTTATATGTGTATATATATATATATGTATTTGTGTGTGTATTTACATACGATTCCCAGATCGTAGAAAAAGATGATGCATAATTAGATAAAACACAGAAGCAGGTTTATATTGTGAAGCCCATGTGGCCAATTACTACCCTTCCTTTAATTTTCTTCTTTTGTTGATAGTGGTGAAGTACTGAGTGCTTGTGTTAAAATGCACTAGTTTGAATATTGAGCTCTTGGTGCTGAAAAGAAACAGTAATACAACAAAAGCTATAATGAACATATGACCTTTTCTTGTGATATGACTTTGTTGTTTCCTGGTTTCATCATGACCCAAAGAATAGTTTATTTCATCGTGATCAGGAGACTGTTAATAATTAATTAACCAGAAAAAAGAAACTCATGCAAATCTCTACTTATACCTAATTAAGAACCGTAGATTAACATGATATATATACATGTAATCCCTCTCTCACGTAATTAAGTCATATACCGTACGTGTTTAATCAAATACTTACCACCCTGTGGTTAATTTATGACCTTTAGCTTGAAGGGCAATCATCATACGTACATACATATATATGTGGTTGATTTGTTTGAAATTAGAGAAAGCGTAATCATGAAAAACTGAGGAAGCTGACTGAAGAATTATTACTCACAAGTTCTTGTAATTATGAGCGTTCATTATTATATCACTAGCTAGCTAGCTAGTATATATGAATTTTTATATATGGTTGTGTGGTGTTGATTCAGAAACAGCCAATTAAGTAGTGAAGATGCAATGTAAGTACAGTGTTGGTGTAAAATGGTGTAGCTCCAGGGATATAAGTATGGATCTTGAAGGGCTAATTTGCATGGTTTTAATGGAGGGTAAAACAAAACCACATGGATCATATGTATTATGGGGGTGGATATTAGATTACGCTGGTTGAGGTTGGGGACCATTTTGCTAAAAAATAGGAAGGGCCATTCAAAGATGCTGACCCAATATACATATAGTGAGAGAGAGAGAGAGAGAAACATATATATATAGAGAGAGAAAGTGTAATATATATATATATGAGAAGAAAAAAGAGTTTTTTTTTTTTGAAAAAAAAGGGAGAGGGAGGGGAAAGAGGGTTGTCATTTTCACTGCATTTGTTGTCCCTTTTAAATGCTTATAAAAAGACCATGTTTTTCAGTGCCACAGTTGGAATGGTTATACGCAGGCAATAGTCCCTCTCATACATAAACAACACACACCTCTCGCTCACTCACTTTTATCAGAATCTGATAGACTTGCAGAGACACCAGCAACACAAGCAGTCCTTTTTCATTAATACCCATTTCATTACATACATACAACATTCACTCTACCCTCTTCTCTTCTCTTTTTTACCTTCATCACCAACCCTTTTCTCATCATCTTCTTTCTTTCTCTCTTTCTTCTTTCTTTCCTTCTTTAGATACATACATACGTGTTAAATAATGGTGAACTATAAAGAAGATAAGGAGAAGAAAGAAAATAGATGATGAGAATGGTGGTGGGTGTAGTTGATATTTGTTTCACAAGTTAAACCAAAGCAAAAAAGCCAAGGCACCAAAAAGGGTTTGTATTTCTCTCTTTGCTTTTTCAATTTCGGGACCACGTGCTCCTCTTTCCCCACCTTTTAATGCACCTTCCTCTTTTTGTCCACTGGATGGATAGATGGATAGATAGATATATATATATATATATATATAGCTCTTATTTTCTCCCGGTCCATCCGACTTCTTCTTTTTCCCTCCACAAAGCCCAAACCCACAGCCCAAAACAAGATTAATTATCATCGTAAGTTAGATACTTTTAATTTAATATTTGGGTTTTTTCTGTAAAAAAAAATAAATTGCTTGAAAAAGTGAGATAAAAAGTAAGCTTGTCTCTATGTCCTAATCTTCATAGATAGCATAGAAAATCTCTTCCACATGGAAGACTTAGAAAATGACTTCCCTACCTCCACAAACATACAACTTACGTTTATGAATATATATATATATATATCTTCATAAAAATATAAAATCATTAAATTAACACTAAATACAAAAGTAAATCACTGTTTTATTCTTTTATCATTTCATCTATTTAAAAATTAATATTTTTTTTTTGTTTTTAATAATCACCTATAACTTTATGTATTTTAATTATAATTAATAAGATTTTAATTCAACTATATTCATATTCTAATTTTTATGGTAATGTAAGTAGAAATAAATAAATAATCTATTATTATTGAAGGCAGAGAATATTAATTAATATAAGATCATAGTCAATTATATCTAAGAAACTAAACATAACTTTTATTAAATATCTCCCATGTACCCTATACGTACACACACACACACACACACAAAGCCTCAAATGATTAAATCAACATGCTAAACCTCATTAAACTGAATAAACATAGGGAGTCCCCCTCAAAACTCCTAGTAGACATCCACAACATTTGGCTCCCGCAGCTAATCAACAGAATATAAACTTTTTTTAAAAAATATATATATATATAGAGAAAAGCACGATATATAACCAAATAAACTAAACATAAACATCACACTTCTCCACATAAATCTGCTTATTTAAAACTTAATTGAATTATGTTCAATAATTTAACAAAATTTGAGAAGTATTTTAGTGGGTTTTTTTTTTTTTATTTTAAAAAAAAAATTCCTTTGACATCAAATCTCACATCCTTAGAAGAAATAAGAAATGAGAAATTAGAAAAAGAAAAGAAAAGAGATAAAATAGGAAATGTATGGTAGGCATATATTGTCAAAATTTAAGATGATGGAGTTGTGTGGTTTGGGCCTCTATTGTTTTATGAATGATAGCGATTTACCATTTTGGCTCCACTCTTCCTTAGAGACACAAAACGTGAATTCTGGAATCAATTCATAATTGAATAGTACAATTGGGCCTTTCTCTACCCTTGTTTATCCATCTAATAATAATTACTTCTTTTAGGAATGATAAATTCATCTCAACTAATTAAAATAAAAAAATAAAAATAATTTAATAGGTAGATGATATTAATATTTTTATTAATAAATTATTTTAAATTTAAAAAAACTTTGTTCTTTGGTGGTTAAAGTGTTTTTTTTTTTTTTTTTTTTTGGTTTTCTGAATTAATTGTGAAAAGATAAAAAGATCAAACGAAAAAATAAATAAATTACTATTGATGCCTGATTCTCATTGTGTTTTGACTTGGGAAGTCATCTTGGATGAGTTAAATTTTCTTCCATGAAATTCAAGATAAATAATTTTTCGTAAAAAAATTATTATGTTATTGAGATGTTTTAATAATGAAGAAATATTAAATAAATAATAAAATATGTAGAATCACTTAAACATTAAGTAAAGAAAATATTACATTTTGACATATATATATATATATATATATGTCTGTCTGTGTGTGCGTGCGTGCACGTGTGCAAATAATTTTGCTGCCATTTTTAATAATTGTTGTTTTACACAATTTTTTAGTAAAGAATACAAAAGTGATCGGTGCTCTAATTGTTTGTTGTGAGGTCATGTGGCGTCACACCCTACCATTCCAAAAGGAGAAAAATAAAAAAAAATAAAAAATATATATAATTTGCATCATTAAAATATTATGATGTTTATTAACTTTTTTTTTTTTAATAAAAAAAGTCAATTATAATATTTTACTTTCTCATTATTATTATTTTATTTATATATTTTAACAATAATACGAAACATTCGCAAAATAAATACAATAATAATATACACCTTGCATATTGCTCTAACATTACAACTTAAATCATTGTAAAATAACCTATTGTACTGAATGATATAAATAGTAAATTGATATAGATGTAAATTATTTTAAATAAAAAGTTATTATTATTATTTTTTTTAAAATTATAATATTATTATAAAAAGAGATAAAAATAGAACCAATTTTTAATGAGAAAAACTAAATATAGTTATTTAAAAGAGAAAAGACAAGGAAAATATAATGATTTTAATACAGAAATAATAACAAGATAATTTAAATTGTATATGTATCTTTAGTTTGTCTGAAATTTCAAAAAATAGTTAAAATGAGTTTTTTTTTTATAAAAAATTATACATTTTACTAATTATATAATGATATATATATATATATTAATCGTAACACAACCTTCTAACAATGATATAAAAAATATAGACAGTGGAATTGGAACCCACAATTTTTTAATATTAATTGTAAGTAAGAGAAATAAGGTGGGCTACCTTTGAAGTGGGCTAAAGAGGCTGAACTACACCATGGGCCTTAATGATGTCTTGCTTCTCTTTCAATTTTTAAAGACTCAATTTTTTGTTTATTTAATGATTCGCAGAGAGGTATTTTAAGCATTTATTTACTTACTTAATAAATATATCTAACTAATTAACTTATGAAAACAGTATTTTAGAGACCACAAAAAATTTTACTTTGCTAATAAATATTTTTTTCCAATAGTATAAACTTAAATCAATATAATGTGAAGTACTTTACACTATTAAACGTATTGTAGTTATATTATATGTTCTCATTAAGTATTAAGATTAACAATAAACCATGTTTGATTAGTATCGATTCAAAGAAACATTTATAAAAGTACTAAATTTTATAGAATAATATTATTTATTACTTAATTTTATTTAATAAAAATATTTTCAATTCGATTTAATCATCTTAATTATTATAATATTTAACGCTGAGCGAGAAATACATTCGACTATAAGTAAAAAAATAATAGAGCAAAAGATGAGAAAAAGAAACAAGTGATGATTAAACATATTACAACATTTATATATTTGTAAGAAAACATTATGAATATGCAATTCTAATTAATTTGACAAAAATATGTGTTTAATACAAAGTAAATAATTGATAAAAAAATCACATATTTTTTCTTCTTTGTATTTTTTTTTTTGAAAAAT